AGAAGCTCCGTTGTTCATTACAATATTGCGTGAATATTGTCATAACATTATCATACGTAATTAATACGTATAGGCATACACAATGTACAGCAATAATGCATATTGTGTTCCAAGTGCCAAGCTCCGTGAATCTAGTCGTCACATGCAACACATCGAACACCCACGTGGCTTATAACAAAAACGACACTGAACAGATTTTGTATTAATATTATGGTGTTTTAATTCTCTACTATTTATTCCCCAAGTYTATAATTCATTCAGATTTTTACTATTTTTAATCTTTAAATTAAAACACTGTCGCGTAATATATATTAATTTTAGATTAAATTTCATAAGTTGTACTGTAAAAAACGTTAAKTTTTTGTATCAAATGTCTATTAAGCGTGGAATCAGTAAAATACGATCACTTGAAAAAATCAAACCGTTAAAAAATCATATTTAACAAAATATCATGTGATATTGATGAGAGATTCTTAATTCCTAGACGTCTTACTTAGTTCACTCCTTTCAATGTACAAAAATGGCAATATTTTCATAAAACTATGGAAACATATCATTAGTATAAACCTAAGATCAATAAATTATGTTTATTTATTTATATATAGCGTTGTATATAAATCCGAGGCAGGTGCTCAATATTCCTTTACGAAGCTTTATTGTTGATCGTAGTTCAATTATAAATTCTAACGCCTTTTCAATAAATGACCGTTACTGAGAGAATTCAAAAACTGTTCACCAAATTGTTCTGTTTAATTGAGATTTTTAAATACATATATTGCTGGCTACCTATGCAAAAAGGACACAGTCCAATTGTATCTTAATACTAGACCCAAACTGGGTCATTAAACCAATGGTGTCCATTACTTTTGTCAGCTTCTYGAAATAAAACTCATAACTACGGGTTTTTTCCATTTTAAATTTAATTTATGTGGTACCTATAGGTATACCTATATCCAACTGGTAAAAATGGAAAAATATTAATAACACCGTGAACATCCACCACTAAATATTAATCAACCTTTTCACACGCAGTCGCGTATAGATATAACATATAAATTTGTATCCGAGAGTATTCAGATWTCCAARAGCGAAATTCAGAGCTTCGGAAATTTGTTTTTGTGATTAGCCAAGCCAACCATTGCAATCCTTTTAGTGACAGATTTCTACCCAATAGTGGGGAAAAAGATACGACGCCAGGATAAGGTATACTATACTTTCAGTTGCTATATCAGTATAATATGTATAATATATAATATATATATATGTGTATATATGTGGTATGTAAAAACTTAACTGTATGCATCTACTACCTCTGATCATATATTGTGATCATATAATATATGACAACATTTCATTAAAAACGAAGACTTTTCGATGGTGGAGTTGAAACAGCCGTAAACGTGTAAGGCAGATACGTGGGGAAGTGTTGGTATAGTCTCATTTGAAAAACGTTAGTGAGAAAGTGAGGAGAGAAATGTGTATACACATACTCTGCCGCTACCTCGAGTTTTAGGTATAATTTATATGTGACGCGGCGTAATCATCGCCAAAAGCATAGACGGTCTTGGTGGAGAATTTCAGAGAAGGGTTGTTTGAGGATCGACTGAAAGACGTTCCACGAAAGGGTTCATCGGCCTGCCAAAGAGCCTCAGACAYGAGATAATACATCTATAAGATCCGTAGAAAAGTTCTTTAAAGTAKAATCGTACACACTCTATATAATATTGTTATGTTTTATTATACGCGAAATTCGTACCTTCAGTATTACATTGGGTGTACGCTAAAACGAAATCGCGAAGACCGTCATCGAATTTAGTCAACCATGTTACATGTTATAACTACTTACTTGCAAAATGTTTGATGTTAATCCAATAAGTTGACATCGTTTGCGGGATTTAAACTTCCGGTAGAAATCATCATGGTTATGATGATAACTGCAATAACGAAACTTTATTGTTTAGTATATACATTTTTCCATCATCGATTTTTCTTTTGTGTTTTTTTTTTTTACAACTGTAGCTTATAATATACCTACCTACGTTTATAAGTTATAACATAGAGTGTAATAGTTTCAAAACATACAARTCGTACAATGTCTATAGTCGTTCTAATATAATGATAAAATACAGAACTGAATTGGGTTATCGGTTAATATAAGCTTATATTTATACCAATTTTTTACGTATAATTTWATTATTGTATGAACATGGCGATTTTCAGTATATAGCAAATCAAATGAAAAAAAAATGCAATGTTATTATACAGGGTGTTCCTCGAAAATAATGGAGATATCAAAATGCTGGTTTTGTAAAAAGACTCAAAGGGATAAAAACTACAATTGTTTCATTTTTTAATTTATTTTAATGTTTTGGTAAAAAAATTWAAAAATGCAATTTATTATTAAATTATGTCCAAAAAATAAAAAATAAAATGATTATAGCCATTTTGTAGAGTTTATTTTTCTGAAAATATAGACATTTTTAAAATTTTATTTTCATTAATTTTCTGATTTTTAATATTTCTTCTAGTTTTGATGATAACTAGCTACACAGGAAGTGTTCTGCTGACTGCGCAAGAATGCGCGCAGCGAGCGTCGCGTGTGACATGTTTGATAACACTTAAGTATTAAATAATTCGCAATTTTTTTTGAGACTAAAAAAAAAAAAATTAAAAATAAGGAAATTATTAAAAACTAAAATTTTGGAACGTCAATATTTTTAGAAAAATAAACTCTACAAAATAGGTATCGTAAATTTTTTTTGGAAATAATTAAATAAAAAAATATATTTTTTGACTTTTTTACCAAAACATTAAAATATGAAATAATTGTAGTTCTTATCCCCGTGAGTCTTATTACAACACCAGAATATTTCGATATCTCCATAATTTCGGGAGTTATCGCAATAATGAGTACCTAAATCCTCGCGGGACACCCTGAATAACTAACGAGGAGAAACTGTCATTTATGGTTTTCTCTATACATAATTAYTATTGTTCGTAGGCTGGATGATAAATTTTCATYATATATAGTTGTTCTCCGATTAAAATATTTTGTTCCGCTTTGTTTATTAATTTGAAGTTCTATGGCCTGCACTGTATCCTTTCAGTCATTTTTCATTTAAGTCGTAGGCGTTGATTTAATGCAGGCACGATCTATAATTGACGTAAGTACCAACACAGCTGAAATTCGTAGAAAATATAAGTCTTGCCAAATTCTATATTTGTTATTGACCGTATCAACATGCAGTGGTGCCAGATGTAGCTTTCAAAGTCCTTATTTGTAGATGATCTGACTAAATTCCCAACCCGCCTTCTACCTCCGAAGAAGTCCTTCTTGTCGGTAAACGCGCTGCGGTTTTAAATATTTAATTGCAAACAAACTCGGCGATTTCGTCGGGTCTAAATAATCGAGTACGGTGAGTACATTTGCATGACTATTTAATAATATTATTCGTTCATATATCCAATATCCATGTATAATATATTATATTATAGTAATGCGTATCCGCAGTAGTTAGRAACGCATTAGACGGAACGCGTTCAACGAATAATCCTATACGGACGGACTCCTAAGTTATTCCGTTTGAGTATTGRTTATTATTCTAGTCGTCCGAAAACTTGCGGAAAATGCATTTTTACCAATAATAACAACACAAGTATRTAATACGCGTGTTTTYCGGTGGCAACTAATATCACAACGAAGATCATAGTTGTGGTCATTATATATTGGTGCGGAATTTAAATACCAAACAAATCACGAAAACCGCTTATTTTTGTATAGTAATATACATCGAGACATTTCGCTTTCATGACGCGTGTTTATATTATAGACAATACCGAACGGGATAATGTTTATTTATCTCATAGAAATAATTTTCCACACCGTCAGATAAATCCTGCAGCATCCAGCATAATAATACATCCAACGAACCGTGGATCTGCGATAGGGAAGGGGAAGTTTTATTATTTATTTTTTTGGCAAATCGATTTGAAATTGCCAACCACATGACTTGGTATGGATTACAGCGTCGGTTGACGTATATTGACGCATTGTTYGATACAATTTTCTATTTATTTCTTTATAATATATTATTATTATATTTGGTACATTTAAATGATATATTGATGTATTGTATTTAGTATGTGGGCACATATTTATAGCCTATAGGTGCATATTATAATATGTATATTCGGATAAGAAGATAATGTCATAATGTTTTTTTTCTTCATATTCTCATAAGCTAAATTGAATATTTTGCMGTAATACGTTTATAATTTAAAATTTATACTTTACGTGGCGAATTGCGTATATTACTCAAAAGGTTTAATACGAAACGTTGGTCTGTTGCTCTTACAATTTAATATTATATTCAATAAGAAATTTCATACCCGAATGAYTACAATTTACAAATCTACTTTAACTAGTATGAATTTTTATTAAAATTTGCATATATAGCGTGTGTCTTATATAAACGTAAGTACTGTAGTTATGCCTTTATTATATGCTTTTAAATTAATTAGATAATATATTTCCGTAGTTCACGTATTAAAATAAATAATCTATCTAATAAAAAGTCATCAATATTTAGTTTATATGCAATTTGTCTACCTGAAATCCCCGCCAAGTTGAAAATAAAAATATGTTTTACCYTCTAAAACGTGATGATGSACGCAAAAAATATCATTTTAAAACCAAAACATTCATCATTTATGCTGAAAATATTAAATATGATTTTAATTAAAGTAAAACATAGAAACAGGAGAGGAAATTATTTCAAATCGTATCWCGAAGTACGCAACTTTTTGGTTTAAAACGTCAATAGCTTATTGTCAGCTTGCGACGTAATTGTGTCGCTTAACAATGTCAATTAACTATACTCTCTGCTGTGAACGCGGCCTTAACAAGGTTGCATATGAGCTCAATTGATCGTAATTTATATTGTACGACGTCTTAGCATAATCCAAAATTTTATTTTCCTGAGACGAATAGTTCMATTTGTGATTCATCAACAGTATGGACAACGTAGTGCCGACTCCTTTTTGTATCGGATCCAGTGAATCTTCGGGAAATCTGTCCAACAACAGTTGCTATTCGGAAAACTTCACCGGAGAACCAGCTGAGTATGATCCTCAGGTAATATCTCATCTGACGTTACGCCTTGAATTCTCAATATCTAATTTCCGGTAGGTCCTAATATACAGTAATAACCATATTTTCTTTGATCAGTCAACGAGATGGTGTATATTTTCAAAAGTTTTTACATTAATTTATGTGGGCAATTTTAAATATTTATCTTGCGAGGATTGTCAAACAAAAACTTGATTTATGCAATATCGAAATATTTTAATATTATAATATAGTAAAATATCTTAATATATTATTTATATTCAGTGCAACCAAATTAGATTTTTGTAAAATTATTATGATATCGTAATTATTTCAACTAAAATTCATTGATTTAGTTAGCATATCATATAATAATCTATAATAATACTAGCAGATTATTGTTTATACTCACAATATATCAAAAACATTTAAAATTATTTGAAATATATTTTTTTTATATGATTTAAAATGTTTCCAAACAAATTTGTATGCAAAAAACGTATTTTTCTTTTTTTAACGTTATTTTTTAAGTATAASTTTTTACTTATTAATTTTAATTTCAAATTCCAAAGCATTATAATTTTACTTTTTAGTTTATTAATATGAAAATATTATTTAAAAAGTATTGAAGACTTTTGCATAGTTTTTATGAATTATAAAACTATTTAATAGTTACAATTGTAATGTATGGATGATCAATTGAATTATCAATGTTCTGAGCTTCTGATTTGTACATAATATAATATTATTATCATTATTTAGTTATTGTAAGTACTTAATACTACCATTATTTGTACATTATTTAAAGACAGTTACATTAACACATAACCGATGGATGTCATATTAAACAAAAAGATATATACATATAATATTTTTGTGCACTAAAATATCATTAATTATTATTATGGTTTTTACATGTTATCAACTGTTATCAAGACTTTATAACGTTCATATTTATATAAATCTGACAAATTAAGAAATATTTAAATATTTATTGCGTGTCAAAAAATATCCATTTTTTATACGCTTATTATAAAAGTCTTTAGGTTGATTTTACATTTGATAACGTCAAAACACCATAAATATTGCCGCTATTCTTATCGACAAATCGTTAACAGTAATGTGGTCGTCAATGATAGAAAATATACTTTTCTAATGTTTGTTGTCTTAGATACCAAATACACCAACAGAAAACGAAAACGATACAAAATAAATATTAATTTTTTTTAATACAATGTTTAATACAATGTTTAATGAAAAACGATAGGCAACTGAATCGTGTGCATGATATTATTATTGTTTAACATAAATTGTTATATTATTTGTGTATTTGGTGTAGTAACTAGTAAGGAAGACAACTTATTGAGCCCTTCTGCAGAGCTATAATACTATAACTACTAGAGCACTTGCGTGAAAGCCCGAGAGTACCCACCTACTTAATATATTATATCAATATAGATATTTCCCTCAAACTTTAAAGCAAATACAAACAAAATAATTATGCACATGGTTTGTACTTTATTAAACAATAGAAATGTTAAAGTCCTAACTAAAGTATACGTCACAAACTTTATAAATTATACAAATACAAACGAGATGATATAGTATGTAGTAAAATATTTTGTATTATTTGGAACGGAATAATTTATGGATTTTATTTTTTTAATAATTAAATAAATGTTGTAATTATCATAATAATATATTGTCAATTGTATTTCTTTCATATTATTATTATTTATGATCATATTATTTTAGACAATGTACGAACAATTATTTTCTCAATTATTGTTTCCATATCGTCCAATCTTGTTTTAMTTCTCGTTGTATACACTGCCTTATATGTAATAATATATATACGATATAATATTAATACTTGAAAAAAAAAATCAAACGAATACAACAGTTTACGACTCGTGACTGTAGATTTTTCATTTTAATTTTACCATTACTGGGAATTAACGAGTACATCCGACATATTCGAATAACTGAACAATTATTTATTTAATTCCACTAATGAATTAGTATACACGTTAATTAACACACGTGCACTATGCGCACATCACACATAATATAATATATATCTATTAATATTGGCAGCTCAGAGAACTGAACCCTCGTGCAACCAACGAACCATCGGTTAACAGAGTTTTATCGATTTCTATTAAAGGTGCCTACAACGCATAGGTTCGTTATATTCGTTCGTGGCCAAATTTGAATTTACGCGTTCCGAGGCATTATAACCTATTAAAATAACACCATATAGTATTGCTCATATAATATAAAATGTGAAAAAAAACTGTTAATCCCGAAAACATATTTTGCGGTGTACAATAAAAAGTTATTTCATGTGTTTATGGGATCTTTTTTTTTTGTTCAGCTCACTCCGGAAAGGGTTAGACTTAACGGATATGATTCCAGCGAGACTTTCAGTGACATGTTGGAAGATGTGGCCGTCAATTACCGGACGCATCATGGTACTCAGCCAAGACCAGTGTAAGTGAACCCGACATCGTTACGTAAAATAAGTTATTATAAATTATTATACAGGATGACAATGGCCGACCGACGTACTATGAGGATGATAATAATAAATAACAATAATATTATAATAAATAACCAGTGGCGTATTATAGTTGTGAAGGGGAAGGGGCTGAAAGGTCTGCAGCTTCCACCAAGAAATGTCTGAGAAAATCTTAAACCTAGAATATATTATTATTTGCGTCGGCATTAAAAGATTTTTCTTTTACAGCTCTTATAATAATTACCCGAACTAGAAAAAAACGGATAGAATTTTTTTCCCTAGATACCAACCAATACGAAAATATCTAACSTAACCTCTACCTTACAATTCTCTATATTTGATATCGAACAATAAATAATAATTTCACTGGCMAAAAAAACAATAAAATTGTGTAATATTCAACTCATTGGTAATAAATGACTAGTGTAACTTTTTACACTTTTTTCAAATAAATAATAGGATGTATCCAATTTTTTATTTTTTTTTATTTATCTAAGCACCAACAACTAAGGCTAGTTGTCTAACATTAACAATAATAAAGATACATTGATACATTATACATTATTATTATACATTATTTATTGTATAAGGTTGTAGAGTTTTCATTTTTATTTATTTTTTATTATTTGATTATTATTATTTTAGTAAAATTATATATTGATTACTTTGATTTTTTATAATTACATAAAAATAAAAAATATTTAATAATAATTAATAATTCAGAAAAGATATTCCAGTTTATAAAAAAATACATTTTAAATATAGTTTTTAAATATTTTTACCGTAATTTATACCAATAAAACATTAAAATATGGTTTAACTAAAATAATAAAAGCATACAAATAATACAATGAAATAAAACTTAATTTCTAAAAAATATTTTTCCAATATATAACTCTGTAGAATATTAATGTGAATCGAGAAAATAAAGAGAATAATAATATTTATCCATGAAATATAACATCACACTTTTTTTGGCTTACATTTTTAGCATCAAMGAGAACCTTTATGGAAAATATTGTGACATATGCATTTAGGTTAGAATTTTAGTAGGTACGTTAATTGTTAATATGGTATTATTACTTTTTCGTTATAACCCAGTGTAAAAAAAAAAAAATTAAATGAGTAAGAATTATTATTAAAAATTGAAAACGGAAAATCATTTTTTAATCCCGTGACCTTGCGTATACTTTTTATTTTAAACAGCTTATATGAGTAATGAGTTTTTAAATAGATTTTTCGTTCAATGTTTTGTAGCTTGTGGGCTTACATATTACCGTTTATGATTGTTACCAGCCTCCCCCAAAATTAGACTATAGAAACGCCCCTGCATTAAGTATACAATGACGCTCAGTTTCCGGAGATTTAGCCAAGTTATGTTGTAGTGGTTTTACCTATCTAAAATCATAGGCACGGCACGTTGCGRTGTCACCAAAGATTTATGTCAACAATATTATTATAATGTGTGCATTATAGTATTCCATCATAATTATTATATTGTTTGCGCACGCAATCCGCTCATTTCACTAGTTTTCACCGTAAATATATTACATATTATATACAAATATATTTCAAGATAAAAACGATTGCAACAGATCGAGAGAGGGGAGGTCTATGCTACGAATCGCAGATTTTTAATTTGACGATCATTTTCAAAGTTATTGAAGTTGAAGTTAAACGACCACGTCGGCTCACGAGTGTTTTGTCGAGAACTCATTGTGACGTTGTAGTCGGCGATTAAACGATGTTTACATTTTAACAGAGATCTTACAATATTTTAATAATATAACATTATGGTACTAACATAATACAATTGGATTTGAATAGAGGGGAAAAATATAATACAGCAATCAATTTGTTCATATTTTATGAGCAAGTAAGACACAAGAATACATTAAATTCTCTGAATGACCAGACACTACTACAGAACATCTTGTCCGCTTTTTAAAATATAATTATAACTTAAAAATAATGTATTATACTAATTATAAGGAATAAATAAATTACGTAGAAACATACGTTTTAATTTAATGCATTAACTCTAGAGGACAATGTACTATATTTAGGGAATAAGAACGTTTCCAGAAATTTCCGGGAGTTTGACTTCCATGGTATAGCAYAGCGGTTCTCAAAATTTTTATTCGCGGAGCCCTTATATTCCTAAAAAAAATTACGGAGCCCCAAAAATCAGAATTGCTATATGAGACAACAAAAATTCATAAAAAATGATGTCAATTGTAAATAATTTGCTTTTTATTTTTATTTTCTGTAAAATACGAATATATACAAATTATTTAATTAATATTAATAATTTAAATTTAACTAATACATATATTCTCAGGGAACCACGGAGTCCACTAGACTACTCTTGCGGAGCACAGTTTGAGAACCGCTGGTATAGCATAACTCTTCCGTTATAGATTAAAACTGACATTTTAAAGCGTAGTAATAAGTGTTTTTGTTTTTAATAAAGTTTCTATGACCCTTTCTATTTGTATAAGTGTACCGTGTAGTCAGACGAAACCGTATGCATGGTATCATACACAAATGCATGAAGGCAGGACAAAGTTGACGACAATGTTGGCTGACATAAAGGTTCCAGAAATTGTAGAAGTTGAGGGAGAATTGCACTGAACTATAATAAATAAATTACGAGTCAACATGAAGTTGATAGGTAGGTACTAAAATATCTCAGTTTACCTGTAATTCAATAATCGCTACTTAAAGAAACACAACATGTTTTAATGTGGAAACGTGCGTCGCATACTCTATCGTGAGAAAAACAATATGAGATAAGCCAGTGATGTAGATCATACCATATACTTTCTGATCATTACATCATTACGAATAAACATTAAACACTGTATGCCTTATGGTTAGAGTCGTAATACTCTCTGTTGTATTGAAAAAATATAAAATTGTATTAGTATATTGTATATGCATTAGTAATTAGTAAAGAGTATTAAATTAATAGTTAAAGTAACAATACAACAATGTAAAAAAWAATAATAATGTTTTGTTTTTATTTTAATTTGTTTACATTATTTATTTTGTATATGTATACCAAAACACCTAATTATGATTGTTTATAACTGCTATAGATATCTKGTACTTTTTTTATGACTACAGCATCTGGTARAGAACACGTTGAATTTTCGTCAAATTATATTATAATAATAAAAGGGATAACCAAATTAAAATACAAAACAATATTTGATTCTTACATTCTGCACAGTTATACATATCACTAGTYATATACGATGTTATTCACAAAGTATTCACACCCCTAATTCTTCTTTTGATGATAAATTAACTCAAATTCTGATTTTTGGAATACTTAAATATTATCAATGATAATTTTTCCAAATGATTGAATTTTTTCTTGCTACTATAGAAGTGTCCTGTGGAAATACAAACTTCAACTTTTAAAATGAGAAACCTATGACATACCAACGAATTTAGGAAACTTTTCATTTTATTTGGCATTGTATGTGTAAATAAACATTATAAATATTGATTTTTGTGTTATACCATTAAACTATACACTAAGGGCAAACTTAAATCGCGTAATGGATTTTCAGTGTTTCTATTTTATATTTTGTCTAACCGATAAATATATAATTTTTTAAGATAGTAAACGTACAAAATATAAAGTAACATTGGTTGGCCTAGTTTTGAAATTTATACGAGTGGTAGTGCTATTGCTATCATCAACTAAATATAAATCTGAAGTAGGTATTTTTATTTTTTTTTTAATTTTATGACTCGTAAATGAACCTATGTTATAATACCACAGTTATTCATATTATACTCGTCAGACTTTTTTTCATATTCACCAAGCATTGTGAAGTACGCTTTTTATATAAAATAATATATATTCAGTATGGTCGTCAACCTTTCTTTGATAACCACAGTCGATTTATTATAATTTTAATGATTTTTAAATTGAACTACCTAGTTAATAAGTTATATCTGTTTCTAGTAAATTATGACTGTCTAATAAGTTTTCTACCAATAGAACGACATAATGATATATTGGTAAAAATATTGATTCATATATGTTATAATTAATTTTTTTAGTAAAAATGTAAAATTCTTCACTAAATTATAACAACATAATATGTCTTTTTTGTATTTATATATTTTATTATAATAGAGTTTATTTGCAAAATATAAAATATATAAAAATATGTCAGTATCAAAAAAAATGTTTTCCTCTTCCTTGAAGTTATGAATTTAAAGAGTGCATTATTATTTGCACGATCAAGGAATTTTATAACAACTTCCGATAAGTTTCAGTAAATATGTTAAATTTTATGTGAGCAAATATTCTGAAATAAAAGATGTGCTTCAAATTTGACCACTTTAAATAAAATATGTTATGTAGTGTTACTACATAGACTTTTCAATCTTAAGATAATATCATGATAATAATGGTGTTGTGACTCATATTAATTAAATTAAACATTTAAAAAAAAAAACTAATATTTAATACACATTGTATCCATATAATTAATTGCTTATCATATAGTAGGCCATATCTGAATGTTACTGATAGGTGTCATCACTCATAGCCTTCAGGTATTTGCATAATACACTACTCATATATTTTTGTGTAATAACTATTACAGGTTCTATATTATAATAATTAGACAAATGTTTAAAAAATATATATATTTGTAACACGGCGAGTCGTGTAGGCAATATAGATACTTTTTATGGAACTCAATTAAATTAATAATTTATGTTTAATATTGTGAACAACGAGTTTAAGAATAAAGTAAAGTCCATAATATAGTTAGTATAATATGTTTATAGTATGTTTTCTAGAATATAACTATAATTTAAGTAACAAAAATAGGAAACATATAGGAATGTATGGTACTGGGGTAGCCGATAGTCTAGCCAAATCTACTTTCAATTTAATATGTCCCTCTCTTATACAATTTTCTCAAACTGATTTCAATCCAAATTGTATTGTGTAATTTGTATTATCTATAATCGTTGGGTTATAATTTGTATGAACAAACAGCTAATGAAAAAAAAAAAAAAACATTAGAATACTTAATATAATGTATAAATTTCAAATTTTTTATTATTAAAATATAATTACAATATGTACACAAATAATTGTATAATAATTAGTTTTTATACAATTTAAAATACAAAAAATAGCGAAACTGAAATTGAGAGAGCACTCAGTAGTGCACTAGTACAATCTGGCCATGTATACATTTTAAAAGTTTTTTTTGATTTAATCATGTAATATTTGCTCTTTTAACACATTGGTTTAGAATGTAATAAAAATAACTATATAATATCCTGTAGTTTATTTTAAAAATGAGATAAATTTTGAAATATTATTTATAATATTATATAACAAATTATGTACTAACATCACATTTTTTTTTAATTATAAAAATATATATCTAGTATTCTAGTAGTTAGTTGTCTTAACAAATTTATGTTATAATAATAATTATATTCGCACTAAAAATGCATTTATTTAAAACTAGTTACATGTGTTGATTTTCTAATAATAATTTTGTATAGTATATTCATTATTATATTTCAATAGGATCTATTATAATAATTTATTTAAAATTAGATTACTTTGCCATCCGGATAAAAACTAAAATTGTATTAATTTAATTATTTTAATTATTTTAATTATTTTAATTATTTTAATTATTTTAATTATTTTGATTATTGTTATCCATTTTAAAATACATATTTAAGGCATTTAACCCTACTGACCGGAAATAAATATTGAAATCATACAAGCATACATTTACCCTTTAGTAACCTAATTAGCCTCACAATATAGAATTCTTGCTGTAAATCTTATAAAAAAAATCAAACAACAAAGGTTTTGATTGAAGAAAAGTCATATCAATTAGTAGTTTTTCGTTTTAATTGATTCAATATATAACCACGTATAGCTTATAGAATGAATTCATAATGTTGTGTATAAAAAGGGTCTATAAATAAATAACAATATATTTATATTAATAAACAAATACAAAAACACAAATACTAGTATATACTTAGTTTATACATAGTTACTTTATGCTTGTTTTGCTTTTTAAGACGATTTAAAATAGAATACATTCAACTGTTTGAATTCAAGACTTGTTCATGTAACTTTTAAGTATAATAATCGATAGTGTAAAAATTAAAAACTCGTTTTAGCTTCTTATAGTCTCACGTATATTGGATACTGGTGAAAATTAACAAACGACCATTACATATTATTATTATACTGTTAAACTCGTTAATTATTAGCGTTCCACCGCCGTCACATTAAATTAATTAGAATAATTACCAACATCATGTACTAGTTTAAAATGTTCACTAACGACACACTTCGCGTATGTTATAAATCGTTATAAATATGTGCTTAAAATAATATATATATGCGTAAGTTAAAATATCGTGTCATGTTGCGCTACTGACATCTCGAGAGATGAATGTGAATAGATGAGTCGGGTATACGCTTAGCTTATTATTATTAAAGTATTATGCAGGCAGACATGCAGCGTCGTGTGTGTCGTGGAGTAGGTAAGCGTATTTCTCGAAACAAAGAACAGTAAACAAAAAAAGGGAGAAAATCACAAATCGTTGACTTGTATAATATAATAATAAACTTGGAAAAAAACGTCGTGGCATAAAGGACAATAGAACAACAGCACAACGGAGAGGGTCCTGAAACTTTGGGTATTCGAGAAAAGGTAGTTTTGTTTCGTTTTTAATATGTAATCGAAACGTATCCTATTCCCTCAAGCGGTCAAACCTATTTTGATAACAATCACACACATAAATAAACATAATATGTATATATATATTATATTCAAGTTGATAGAGAATATATTTTCTGGTCCTTTTTTGTGCGTTATTATTTTTAATATTTTTACCCTTTTATATCTAGTGATTTAAATATAGATACGATGTCAAATGAAAATAAAGCGTAAATTCCGATGCTTTATATAGTCATTTCGAAACTAACAGTAAACAAGGCAAAGGGCAATAGGGTTTTTCTACACACTCAAACATCAGGTCACGTTTTTTATACAAATTATTTAAAAAAAATTATTCGGGCTTTTGATACAAATTTACACTATAGGTAATTAAAATATTTAAGAGCTATACTGCAATTGTATTGTAAATTTATTCCTAATAAAATATATGATGGTAATATTTTATGAATTATATAAGCCATTGATAACTGTTTTAATAATTTAATTAATTATATGATATTTTCATTTTGATTCGAATAACTCCATAGTTATTTTTAGCTTGCTGTTATAAATAATAATACACACACCTACAACGTGTTTATTTTAAACGCATACAAAAGAAGTATTTTTATTTAATGCTTAAAAATACAATAATAAAGTAATTTTATTATAGTATTTGTAAACAATTTTAACGGAAATTTTGAACAAATCGAATAAATTACTTCGATGAAAAACTAGAAAATAATTACCATATTTTTAGCTTTAAATTAATTATAAATCAAACTGAACTTCATAAATAATCGTATACGTTTTCACAAAAAAAAAAAGTGAAGTGGGCAATTAATTCTTGCAGTTTTTGAAGGGTAATAAATATAAGTTTTCATTTAACTTTGGCTTCACAATAAGACTATACATATCTTTTATTCAAATTTATTGTTTGTKCTGACCCGTATAACTTAATTTCATTAATGCGATTTGAGACTTTTTACTTTAGTTCTAACAATATACCAAGTATATTTTTTTATATACGTGTAATTTAGCAAGAAAAATATTTAATTCATTTAGATCACCAATGATTCATGCGACTAGGAGATCCTCGACTGCATCGCAATCAGACTCGGACAAGTACGGGACTTTAGATGACACAGACATATCGGTGAATTCACTTACAAGTGTAAACTCAATATCAAGTTTGCTAAGGGAAAAACTTTTGGTAAGTGTTCACAGGATTATTATCTTACATAGTATTTGTTTTCTTCCATGGAACATAATAATATTAAAACGAAAATCGTATCACAGATGAATATACAAAAAATGTCAAAAAATAAAGAAGTGCAAGCCGACTACAAGCTGAGGGCGTTCATTATATTTTTATTCGTTTTGATAGTCTGCGTGCTGAAACTTGCTCACGTCTATTACGATCGTSATGTACTGCAGGTGAGCAAAGAATCATTGTAAATATTATAAAAGTCATCGTATTGGAAAATAGTTACAAAATAAAATTAAGGTAATCATGGGAACGCATATTCAAAGGATTTCAATAACTACGGGTATCGCGTTTAGGATTTAACCATTGCGATATCTGACAACATAATGGAGATTTAAAAATTCTGGTTTTTTTTTTTTATTTAACAAATACGCCTCAACTACCGGGGTTATTGGCTTTTGAAATACATATTATAGATAGTTAATTTTTACAAAATAATAAATTGTAAATAGGTGAAAAATTGATAAAAAAAAGTTTTAAGAGAAATATGTTTACATTTTGTGTGATATTCTAAGTTTTGTTAATGCTATTATATTTTATGCAGAAGGATGGTCTCTTTGAGGAATTCTAAAAGTGATGATGTTTTCTATTCGTTTGGTGCAAGTATTTCACACAGATTGTTGGAGATTATCAGTATGTGTCTGGCGTTTTTTGTGAGGAGGCATTCAGTTAAAATATGTTTTACTGTGATCGCGGTGTTACATGAGGTGCATATCCGTTGTTCCTTTTTGTTCATTAAATGCTCATGAGTGCATAATGTGTGKCCAATCCGTAATTTGTCGATGATGATTTGATGTCTTCGTGGGAGTGACATATCGTGCATCAAAGGGAGGGTGGAGGATTTAATTTCTCTTAATTTGTTATTTTGTATTAATCTCCATTCTCGAAGACATGTTGGATTGAGGTTAGCGTTTATTTGATGTTTTGGGTCAAAATGGGTTGTACCTACCTAATATTCCAGAATTCAATTTGTTCTTTGGTTGCTATTTTGGATCTGGTTTTTTAATAAGACTCATAAGGATAAGAATTAAGAACTACAATTATTTCAAATTTTAATTAATTTGAATGTTTTGGTAAAAATTTAAAAAATATGTTTTTTTATTTTATCATTTTATTTCAAAAAAAAAAAATAATAACTACCTATAGCCATTATGTAAAGTTTATTTTTCTAAAAATATTGACGTTTCAAAATTTTATTTTCGTTAATTTCATGATTTTAGATTCTAAGTGGAGCGATGAATGTATTGGTTTTACAATGATGTTTATTTCTTTTTCTTTTTTATTCTATAAATACATTTTCTCCCTCTAAACTTGCTCGAAAATATCAAGGTAGCATCTTTTCTGAAAGGTAATCTTCTTGAGCTGGTACTTTAGAATGGTCATTTTTTCGATTTTCTAAGCAGTATACTCGTAATGAGCTGTTTATAGACATTTCAAGTTTAGGAGTATTTTGTTGTAATTTGGTTAAAAACATAGGGTTGTTTATTTATATWAGCCTTACCTAGACATGGTAAAATTTTCAAAAAATTTGAGCGACTTTTGAGTTTTTTCTTTTTTTTTTCATTTTTATGATATTTTCTAATTATAAATTATAATTATATAAATCACCTATTTATATAAATCATTCTTAAGCTGTTCTTATAACGCTTTGTGTATCACCATAGAAACGAATAAAATTAAATAAAAAAGATTCCCTCGTCCGCTCAGAATCGTTTTTTTATCGAATGCAATCATTGCATTCAAATCGAATACAGTAAAATTACACTATCCTGTCCGAGGACTGAAGCGACGTTGGAAAAAAATCCACCACCACAATGCTGATMTAATTTTTAATTTTTTTTTTAATTTCGAGAAAAATTGCGAATTATTTATAACACCGGAGTTTTATTAAACATGTGATCACGTCGCGTCGTTCGCGTACTCATACAGCCGGTCGAACACTTTCAGTATGCCTAGTTATATTTTATTTTTTCAAAACTAGAAGCAATATTAAAAATTAGGTATATTTTACATCAATATAGTTTTAAAAATAATAATTTAAAAATTTGTTTCAATAAATAATTTTCTAATGGACTTAATAAGTATAAATTAGTCTTCTTTAAATTATATTTAGTTTAATTATGTAATAATATAGATTTGTTTTAATTTAAAGGAAATATTAGAGTTATTGTTAAATAAAAGTTAAAGTCAATATTGTATTTTATATCTATATCCATGATAGAGATTAAAAAATAATGATTTTATGTACACTGAACAACCTATATTATGTATGAATATTATGTGAAAAACAAATCAATCAATAAATAATAATTTATTAGATATTAACACGATGTGATGATATAACCACTACAAAAACGCATGTGCATATTTATTGAATAATTTAACGATTACTTTATTTAAGTAAATAAATCACTGTAGGCGTGCTTTATGCAGGTGTTAATTTCATTGATATTTTTTTCTATTGAATGGAGTTTTAATGTTTTTTTTTTTAATCATCTTTAAACTTTTATAATTAAAATATTATATATCATGCAATTTATTATTGAAACATTATATTACCGTTGACTTATCTTAACCTATCTTCAACTACCTAAATCAAGTTCATTGTTTTCATAAAATCGCCCACCCTTCTAAACGTACAGTGTACAAAGTGTGCGCGGTCGCATGAACAATAATATTTTGAGTCATGCGTAATACAATATATTATTATGATAATCACGTGTTGTTTGTGGTGTGTTGTGCGCAGAAAGCATATTTCAAGTACACGAGATTCAACAAGGACGACCGTTTCTTGCGATTATTCGGTGTCGACGGGCACGAGATAGCGTTCGGTTACCTCGGCGTGGACCTGGCAGAGAGGGAGAAGGCTTTCGATTGCTTGGCGGGGCACCGTTCGCCTCCGAACGTACAGTGTTTCGAATGGATGCAAAAGGCCAGATTGTATCTGTCCCACGAGGAAAGACCGGAGGGCCTGAACTGTTACACGGTGGAGTGGTTCAGCCTGACGGATAAATACAACCCCATAGACTGTTACGAGGACGGCGAACAATACGGTCATTGGTTAGTCGAATAACGTATAATAATATTATTATTATCATATCGTGATGTGGCGACCGGTTATCGGCAAACCGTATATATATAAAGCAACGTACGCGAACGTCGGTCCAATAATAATTWCGACAGAGGTACCTGCCTAATAACATAATGGCGTCACGGTGCTGCAGTGGAATTCCACTCCGTGTGTTTATATATTATGTACGCCACAACGACAATCGATTCGCAGGCTCTCAACCCCCGGCAAGACGTATTCAGTAATCGCTCGTTATCCGCGGATTCTTTATCCGCAGTTGAGTCTGCGATAACATTTTATCGTTATTATAAGAACTCTGTAGATAATTTATTTTGGAAAATTGTAAATAATTGTTGTTATATCGTTAGGTATAACGTATATTTATRCAACTATGTTTAAATGTATTGGATGCAAAGAAAAGCATTACGTCGTTATGACTTATTTTATTTTCTTATACCGTTAATTTGTTCAGTGCAGGTTTTTCATCATTCATAATGTGGATGTATGATTGATGATTAGTAAATTACTTAATAAATCACGTATAATAAAGTTAATAATTAACCAAATACATAATTGTAAAAAATATTAACCTTATTGTGATTTTTAAATTAAATACAATGTACCTTTTTACATTGTTTTATGGTCTCGTTATCCGTGGTTTGATATCCACGTAACTTTGCTGGAACATAACTCCCGCGGATAACGAGGGATTACTGTGTTTTATTTCCACCAAAGTCTCAAAGTGCATTTCCAAAAATCCGTTTATGCATATTGCATAGTTATATTATATAATACTCGACGATACTCGTATATCCTCACCGTCCGTAAACGTTTTATGACCAAACCACCTTCTCTCCTACCACCGCGCACACATACACATGTTAACGTCAGTTCACTAACCACGTTTTGTGATGAAATTTGTAAAATGTTATTGTACGAAAAGCGACGATCGACGAGAATGCGTAAAGTTAATAGTTATTACTTTGTGTTTCCAGAACACATCAAATAACTTACTACCTACCACATTATTATACACACAGTGCGCAGACTGTTGGTAGTGAAAATGCACGGAAATGTACATCAATCAAAATAATAGTCGTATTATAACGCCACGTATAAAATAAACATGATCCAAATATTTTTACGTAAAAAACATAATGTCATTGCACATATTGTGGTAAAACTATGTTGATATTAACGTTGTGATTGGAAACGTGTTTAATGTATTATGCAGGTACGGGGGTGGTAGAACGTTGGGCATGGCTTGGCCGGTCCAGTTGGGGAGGGTGGAAATGTCGCCTTTCATAACCGGACACGTCGGCAGGCATCGGTGGGGCAGCGTGCTAGGCCGGTACTTCATCAATTCCAAAGGAGTGGCGATCACAGTGCACYCAAACACGCCACTACACGTGTCTATAAACGCCGGCCGCGACAACAGGCTGTGCATAAAGGTTTGTGTCGGGTGTCACCGATGAAAGGCGCGTGTGGTACAACGGGGGTGATGTTTGCATTTTATTTTTCAACTCGTGGAATTAAAAATCATGTATATAATCCTTGTTTGTTCAGGCGAGCCACGACGATTTCGCCTACCGCCGGACGGCTGACCTGCCGGTCCTAAACTACACGATATGCTCGGCGCGAAACATGAAGATGCTGCACACGGCACTCTCCGAGAAAATGTTGTGGGACGGGCTGAAAGCATCAGACACCGAGATCATAAACTCGCTGCTCACAGAGCCCGTTTGGCAACTGGCACCGCCCAGGAAAGAACTGCTGAATGAGTCCACGATGGTCAACTATACCGAGGACATCATCACGCTAGGTTTCATAAAACAAGGTAAAGTCATTGCTAATATGTGGTAAAGCATTAAAAGCCGAAATCGAGGGTTTCCAATTTTGATTAAAAACAGATAGGTATACTATAGTAGGTGTAAACTAATCGAATAAATAAAAATATCACAACAAGCTATATTTTAATAAAAATAACAATGACAAATTGATTATAATATTACAATTTTAGATTCTGAGCGGAGCGATGAATGTATTGATTTTACCATGATGTGTGTTTTTTTTTTT